GAGCTGCAAAGATCCACAGCTCAGGTGGGAGAATCCATGGACATAACATTTGCTCGTGCATTTCCCAAATCTGGCCTTCATGGAAAGTTGGCAAGAAGAAAGTCATTGTTGAAAGAAAATCATAAAAAGTCCCCCTTTCAGTTTGCCACATGTCAGATGAGACTAATGTATATATATATATATTTTTTTTGACTATATGTCAAACAGTAAGTCCATCCCTCCATTGTTTATCTGCTTATCTGTGCAGGGTCACAGTGGGGGCTGCTTTGCATCTACATACGCAGACAATCCTGGAAGACACTTGTGAGGGTCTTCTTCTTCCACCAGCACAGTGACCCTGAATATACACCCAACGCTGCAATAAAGTAGTTTAGATCAAAGCAAATCCCTGTGTTAGAATGGCCAATTCATATTTGTTGCAAGACTTAAAGTGTTTACAAATGCTTTCCATTACTCGGGAAAGAAAAATTAGCAAAACTGTTCGTCTATAAATTTGCAAAGCTGGTGGAAACACGGCTCAAAGGAAATGCAGTCCTAAATGCAGCAAAACTTGGGTTTACTTAGAGTTGACTCGAGTGAACTGAATACAAATACCACAGTTTTCACATTTCTATTTGCTAAACTTTTTTAAATCAATCCTTTCCCTTCCACTTCCTATGTAAATCTTTCTTTGTGTTGGTCTCTTACATAAAATAGATGTAAAATACATTTACAAGTTCGCGGTTGTATATTGTATGTTGTGGGCACACAACATACAATATACAACATTTACATCTCGTGACCATATCATTTTGAACCTTTTAATTTATATGGAAATTCACAATATTCACATGAATTTCCAGAACTACCTTGACACTTACATTAGCATTTTTTTCACATATAATATCCACAACAATCTTTAAAGTCCAAGTATAACTTGAACAGTCATAGAAGTAGATTGGAGATAGTTTACCAGTAGTATTACTATCCAGATAGTGCAGTATGTTTGAGTATAGTTTAAGTAACACACAGTATGGATGAAATTGTTTTTAACTTGTAAAATTACTTAATCTGAACTTGGAGATAGAAGGAAAGATCTTGTCATGAAGGTATTGGACCTGTTTCTTCGAGTTCTCTGCTTCTCAAATTCAAAGTAAGGGACCTAGAAGGCACGAAGAAGAAAAAGGAGGAAAAAATAAAACTGCAGGTTACATCTTTATACACTGACAAGAAGCTGAGTATTTGCAAGACATAAAAGAAAGAGATATTTTCACAATATTTGCAAATAACACCTCCACCACATCATATCCCATCCTATGGAGGTGTCTACTCTTTGTGGCTTCCTTCCCCAGCAGGTGTTGTGTGTTGCTGCAGAACCGCTTTGACCATCCAAACACAGTGCACTTCTATGTAAGACAGGGCAAATGGTAAAAAATATAAAATTTGATATACTTAGAAATTTAATTTAGCCAGCATGCAACCCGGTGAGCTGCACAGTGGCACAGTTGGTAGCACTGCTGCCTTGTAGCAAGAAGGTCCTGGGTTTGATTCCCAGCCTGGGGTCTTTCTGCATGGAGTTTGCATTTTCTCCCTGTGCATGTGTGAGTTCTCCCTGGGTACTCTGGCGTCCTCCCACAGTTCAAAAAACCTAACTGTTATTGGTCTCTAGATTGCCTTTATGTATGAGTGTGTGTTTTCAGGATGGTATGTCCCTGTGATGGTCTGGCAAATTGTCCAGGTTATACCCCATCCCTCGCCCAATGACCACTGCAGATAGGCACCAGCTCCCCCACAACCCTGCAAGGACAATCGGGTATAGACGATGGATGGATGCAACCCAGTGCTAAACATTTTTATCATCTTGAAAGGAAAAAAATCATCCAGCAGGTCTAGGTATTTTCATACTATTGCCGACATGCCTTTTAGTTAAACATTCTCACTCCTTAACACTTTGAAAAATACCAAACAGCTCCAAATTAAACAGGTCTTACCTTTTGTTTTTGTGTTCCCACTGAGATCAAATCTCCACATCTGGATCAAACATTTCAACACAATGATAACTCATGATTAATACACCACAGATCAATGAAGCATTTAATTTACCAAGTTACATCTTCAACTTTATTTTGGCCTCTGATTGTTCTATCTAAAGCTATAGGAGGTACACACGTGGACAAAATTGTTGGTACCCCTCGTTAAATGAAAGAAAAACCCACAATGGTCACAGAAATAACTTGAATCTGACAGAGGTAATAATGAATAAAAATTCTAAGAAAATGAACAAATGAAAGTCAGACATTGCTTTTCAAACATGCTTCAACATAATTATTTAAAAAAAATAACTCATGAAACAGGCCTGGACAAAAAAGGGTTTGTCCATTAATTAGCATCACAGGTGTCTACATTCTTGTAACCAGTCAGTGGGCCTATATATAGGGCTACAGGTAGTCACTGGGCTGTTTGGTGACATGGTGTGTACCACACTCAACATGGACCAGAGGAAGCAAAGGAAAGAGTTGTCTCAGAAGATTAGAAAGAAAATTATAGACAAGCATGTTAAAGGTAAAGGTTATGAGACCATCTCCAAGCAGCTTCATGTTCCTGTTACTACAGTTGCACAGACATTTAAGCAAACAGTACTCCATGACTGTACTGATCAGTTCTGGATCACACTTTCCCAGCCTCCCTGATACATAAAACAAGATGTGAACATTTTCTTTTCTATTTATTGTTCCTGCAAGTGTCCTCGATGTCAGAGTATGAATTTACTTTTGTAAACCTGACTTGTATAAGCCTTCTAGTGCTCTTGGGGGTCCACTGTTGGTTATGGGGTCCTAAGCAGTTTGATTTGCTTATTTATGTGTCCCTTTCTGCTTTAACTTCAGCAGAAACTGCATAATCTCACTAACCTGGCCGGCGCTCAACCTGTGGACCTGCCTTTGAGTTTGTCTATGGAGAGCCGACAGCATCAGTGCTTGCTTCTGACAGCTTGGCTAATATAATGCTGCCAGCAGGGAGTAGACTTCTGCCGCCTCGCTGGGAGAGACCATGTCCTCCTCTACAGCACAGCTGATGAACTTCATGACCTCTGTCACTATGCGACTCGCGGCCTTCTAGGGCACATGCCACCTTCCTAGGTGGCAGAGCGTTCCTGTTGGAAAGCAGCTCCAGACACTCTTTCACCAGGATCAGGACTGGAGGGCCGTGGGCCTACAAGCCTAACTCAACACATGCTTCGAGTAGAATGGCTAGTCCCTCTGCTCTGTCATTGCTTGGAAACTCTGCCAGCTTGGAGCACAACTCGTTGATGACATCCTCCTCAAATAGAGACTGGATATTTACTAGGGCAGATGCGCCTCTTTGGGCTTTGGCAAAGAGTGCGTGTGGAGAGAGGTGTCTATGTGCCATGTGCACATCAGCATAGTAGGAAGTCACTTCATTGTGTTGGGTTGTGGATGCTGGAACCAGATATAGTCGAGGAACGCCAGCTGCTGTGGTCTGCGCCCTTTGGAAACAGTGCGCGTCAGTTACGCACGGCTGTTGCGCATTAACTGTTTTAGTGGCAAATTTATGATCTGTGAGTCTTTCTGATGAGCTGCAGAGACTGAGACCACGGGACAGAGGAAAACACACAGAGCCTTGCTGGCCTGCTGTCCTGACTGACGCTGACATACTGATGATGGGCTTCATAGTTCTTAAAAAAGCTCCTTCCTGTATATAAACAGCACAGCAGGCATTTTTTATCATGTACTATTTTATTAAACACTTCAAAAGTTTAGAAAAAACATAGGCTTTGTTAATGAGAGAAGTGCAGTTAAATTTAAAAACAGCCATTCTAAAATAAACAGAACATTACATTTACTGAAATCGAGTGCATGCACTAATACAGACACTAATTCCATGCACATATTATGTGATCCATGGGACTGAAGCCAACCTCCCTGGACGTGACCACAGGAGAAAAATAGATGACAAATCATAGAGACGGATAATACATATGGTAACAAAAGAGCCCAGAAAAACTAAAGAGATTAACGGTGAACTTCAAGCTCAAGGAACATCAGTGTCAGATCGCACCATCCGACATTGTTTGAGGCAAAGTGGACTTAATGGGAGACGACCAAGGAGAACACCATTGTTGAAAACAAATCATAAAAAAGCCAGATGGGAATTTGCCAAACTACATGTTGACAAGCCACAAAGCTTCTGGGAGAATGTCCTATGGACAGATGAGACAAAAATTGAACTTATGTTATGAAGTTATGTTCTGGGGCTGCTTTGCTGCATCTGGCACAGGGTGTCTTGAATCTGTGCAGGGTATAATGAAATCTCAAGACTATCAATGGATTCTAGAGAGAAATGTGCTGCCCAGTGTCAGAAAGCTTGGTCTCATTCGCAGGTCATGGGTCTTGTAACAGGATAATGACCCAAAACACACAGCTAAAAACACCCAAGAATGGCTAAGAGCATCCCTGTACATTGGACTGTTCTGAAGTGGCCTTGTATGAGACCTGACCTAAATCCTATTGAACATCTTTGGAAGGAGCTGAAACATTTTGTCTGGAAAAGGCACCCTTTAAACCTGAGACAACTGGAGCAGTTTGCTCATGAGGAATGGACCAAAATACCTGCTGAGAGGTGCAGAAGTCTCATTGACAGTTAGATGAATCGTTTGATTGCAGCGATTGCCTCAAAAGGTTGTGCAACAAAATATTAAGTTATGGGTACCATCATTTTTGCCCAGGCCTGTTTCATGAGTTTATTTTTTTTTAAATAATTCTGTTGAAGAATTATTCATGCTTGAAAAGCAATGTCTGACTTTCATTTGTTCATTTTCATAGAATTTTTATTCATTATTACTTTTGTCAGATTCAAGTTATTTCTGTGACCATTGTGAGTTTTTCTTTCATTAACCGAGGGGTACCAACAATTTTGTCCACGTGTGTAACAGGTAAGACTATGGGAAGAAGCTGGAGTAACTGCAGAGAAGCCACACATGCATGGGAGGAACATGCCGAAAGATTCCAGGCTGATATTTGAACCCAGGACCCTCTTGCTGCAAGCCAACAGCACTACCAACTATGCCACCAAGCAACCCTAACAATAGTATGTCCTGAAATCTTCTCAAAATGACATCCAAATTTGTCGTTTTTGACTTGAACTAACTTTTATAAAATTATTCTTAAATAGAAAAATAAAAAAGACAAAATAATGTGTAATGTTTTTCCTTGGGTATGTAATATCGTCATTTCTATTTTGGGATTTATTAATAATAATTAATTATTTATTAAGTGCAGTTTAATTTAACTAATTTCAAATATGTTCAATCAATTGTTTTAATGCAGATTTATACATTTTTATTTAATATTCAACCATCTTTCTGATTAAAGCTCATGTTGAATGGCAATTAACATTAAAATATAAAACAAACATTAAATGTTCTGCATGGCCATGCTGTGCCATATTGTTGTTTACCTGTGGTTCCAAGAGAGTCTCAGCGTAGGATCTGCAGAGCTTGTAGGTAAGGTTCAGGTAAAGGTTGTATTTAAGGGGGCTTGGTTTCCTCTGAAATAGGTTTTAGATATGCCGCCCTATGCTAAATGCGGAAGTGTAAAGATTCATAATTGTTTTTCTCAAAGCAGATTCCTAAACTAGTGATTCTGTCTTTGTCCATGTCTCTGTCCTCTTCAGCCAGTTTTAGACACTACTAGGTATTTTGCTGGATACTCCCCTTCAAAAGGAGAGTTCTCATCCCCCCTTCCAGCTATAGAAGTCCTAAAAGGCAAGTGATTCTTTTAACTGATTTTTATTCATTCAGTTTTTTGGGATCCATTTTGTTGGTCTGAATAAATGTTTATTTGTCTAATGACCTTAAAAGGTACTCATTAGTAAGAATTTTCTTACTTTTCCACCTTTAGAGTTTGTTGAACTCTTAGGGCCTGTTTCCAGAATTGATTCCTAAATGTGTTTTCTCCAGAACCTAACAGCCCAGAATCTTTTTATCTGTTTTTTTTGTGTGTGTTTCAACTGGGTGCCCGAAAACCGCTAAGTTGGCCCTCCTCCTGCGAAGTACTGCTTCAATCTTGGGACAAATATCACAAAATAAAATCACAACAGCTATTTTCACATTATTGCTCCACATGTTGACAGTGCTGTATACTTAATTTCCACAAGATGGCGCTAGCGACATAAAAACTGTGTTACCTTACAGATCATGTTGGTTCAACTCAGAGTTGAGTTAATTTTCATCCACAGTTAGGGAAATCAGCAGGCAATGACCTGTTTAGTTGTAATAATAATGTAGCCCTTCTTCATGAATAGCAGAGCATGGCACTGCAATGGAATCACAAAAATATTAAGCAAAATCAGACTCAATTCTCCTTCAAATGTATCTGACAATCACGTTTCAGTAAATGTGTTGCTTATTTAAAAGAATCTTTGCGTCCTCAGACGGTTGTTTTTATGAGTGCCTGTTTGCGGTTGCCAGTTTGTAAAGGTTGATCCAGACGTCATCTGAGCCCACCATCTCTGAGAAAATCTGTGAAAGAGTGTTTGTGTGTGTGTGTCACCCATCTGGCCGCTCTATCTCTTTGCAAACATGCAGCAACACAGCAAGCCCTCTGGACACAAGTTGGACAAAGACAAAAGAGCAACAAGACCAGGAGTTTTCGGATGGGAAGCAGTGGAGACGAGATAAGATCTCTTATAATAAAGTTACTGCTCTGCCAGTAATGCTGATGAATCACACTGAGTCATCATTCTGCCCGTGTGGCGTCTCTGAGTAAGCAGAAGAATCAGTATGAGTGTCAGTAAGTTCCAAAAGCTGGTTCTGATGAAAATGTTTGTCTTCTTTCTGTCCCGCTCACCAGAAGGACAAATGCCATTTTAAATTAACCTCCAAGTTCTGAGTTATACGGAAAAAATTCTTTTAGCTGTTTTTTAATTGCAAATGTATTTAATGACACTTTAAATTGTATCATTCAAACTTTTTCGTAACATTTCTTCCACTGAAGATCAACAATAATAATAATAATAAAAAAAACATGGTAATTTTGCATCAAGGATACTAATTAAGTATTTGGGTGTTTGTTTGTTCTGTTGGTTCTGCGACATCGTTAGATGCTGAGCTGTATGGAGTCACTTTCCCATTTCTGTCTTGTTTTTGAATTTTCCCACACCCTTTGTTGTGGACAGCTCATGACTACAGACAGCCCATTTCAGCAGCCGTAGCCTCTTCTTCCTCAGGCATGACTTTGTAATGTGAGCAGAATGTGGTTTTTCATTGTCTTGTTGAAAAACACAGAGACATTACTTGACAAGATATTATCTTTGTGGTAGCATGTTACTCTGAAGTTGCAGTGTAACTTTGAGTGTTAGAACTGTCAAAACTTTCACTTTTACTTTTTATTTTTATTGCCTAAATTAAAGAGAGAAAAACAGTGCCAGCCACATTTATTGGTACCCCGAGAAAGAAAACAGTAGTATACTGTTACATTGAATAAGTGGGGAAATCCAACCTTTAACATCAGTACATGTATTCAGTGAAAAAAATGTCATGTTAAGAAATTATTCGCTTTTAACAAAATCATTGGTGGCACAAGTTTTGGTCAATCTGATGTCAATACTTTAGACAATGCCTTTTGCCAATAGGAAATCCTGTAGACATTTCACCATGTTGGAGCCTTCAGATAGGAGGATCTTTCACTATATCTCTACACACAATCAAGCTAGATCATCCAGACTCTTGGTTACTCTATTATGCTCTCTTCTCTTCAGCTCCTTTCACAACTTTTCTAAATGATTTATTTTTACAGTGCTGAAAAACTAATATAAAGTCAATATGAATAGATAGTAAAATGTAAAACAGTGGTGCACTTGTTAGCACTGCTGCCTTGCAGCAAGAAGGTGCTGGGTTTGAATCCTGGTATCTTTCTGTATGGAACTTCCATGTTGAGGAAGGTTTACTCTGTCTAAACCTCAAGACGCATTCACACTTCTGGTCCGGTCCAGGGATGGGTAAAAGTGACAAAATTCACACCTTCAGTTGGTTTGGTTTGGTTTCACGCAGAGATTTTTAGATAGGATCAAGCAACGTTATGCAATTCCCAAAGATTGTTAAGGGGGCAGGATTGGTTTGATTGAAAAAAAAAAAACTAAGTCTGTCTTCTCATGGTTTCTCTTGCTACTTTGGTGTTTAAATGTAGTTGTGAACCTGCACCTCTTCACTACTCCATGTAGTCCCATGATACATTTGCAAACTCTTTCGTTTTCATGCTCTTACTGTGTTTTTCTTCTTCTTCAAGTCAAATGTGATGCTCTTACATCACATCGTATGGTATGCTGCCTTCTTTCACACAAAAAGCAAACTGCTTGAGGGTCCGGATACGCCGTGTCAAGACCGGCAGTTAAGATTTTCTGGTCCGTTTCAGGGTCTGGGATAGGTTCACACAGGCCTGACCCACTCTAGAATTTGCACTCTGGCACAGTAAAAAACGTTCCAAAGGTTTGGTGTGAAATTTAGTTTTGTGTGCTCCTGACTGTTGCAATGACAGTGAATGCCACAGTGAGAAAAACAGCCATCTGAGGCCTTCAAAAAGAAGATTGTAGTAGCGTATGAGTCTGGATATTGATTTAAGGAGATCTCAAAAGAATTTAAAATCAGCCATTCCACTGTATGGAAAATTATCTATAAATGGAGGACATTCAAAACAAACGTCAACATGCCGTCCAAGCAAGATCATTATAACTTCATCCTAATTCCTTAAAAAAAAACATAAATGTGGTTTGTCTCAAACTCATATGGTTTTTGACATACGTTGTGAAGTTTTGTCTCATCTTGTCTTATTGATGTTCTTGTTTCAAGTCACAAGAAATACAATTTTAATGCATTCTGGTTTCATTGTTGTCCTTTTCTTTGTGTCCTGTAATCGTCCCCAGATGTCCTCAGTTATCCTTGTCAATCTCTTTTGTACTCCCACATCCAGTCAATTTATCCGGTCTATACAATCTCTTTGATTTTCATTATTCGGGGCCAGACCTGAAATTATTGCACAGTCATTACTAAATGTTGGCAGTAAAAATGCTTACAGTGTCATGTTTTTAGTACCTGAGACTCTGGAGCATGTGACAATTACGGACACAGTGGTGACAGTTTGAAAAAGGTTTTATTGTGTAATATGTAGAAAGATGAAGTTCTGCTGATTCCGTGGCCGGCTTCAAGGATGGCACCAAGACGAGAGGTAGGTAGTTATTAAAAGTTATGGAGATGATGAATACCGATCTGATTGGAAGGAAAGTGGGATCTTACTGGTGCTGAGATCAGAGCTCCAGGAGAAGGTCAATCCACAGAACTGAGATTGGCAGGAGACTAGTGTATGGTGGTGTTATAATATTTGCCTTTTTCCTTCAATGTTGATGATGAGGAGCAGTGGAAAGTTGGACTGTAGAGGACAGACAGGTGAGCGAAGCAAGGGTTGCTATAGGAATCCAGATAGCTGTTACTAGGAGGGCTGCCAGAGGACCAGTGGAGAGAAAAGGAGAGGGTAGTTTTCCTCCAAACAGATACTAAGAACAAGGAAACTGTCCACTGGAACACAGGCCTTGGTCATCAAAGGTAGGATCTGGTTTCACTTGTGAGCAAAACAATCTGGCATCTACCTCAGGGAACCAGCGCTTCTTTAAGCTCCTCCACAGCTGCAGCTTTGATGAGCTACAGCTGTGGAGCCTGCACCTGCTGGTCACACTTTGGAAGGACAGGAGGAGCAGAAACACCACTTGCACACAGTTCTGTGGATATGACGTATGGAAACTGTGAGGCTTTACATTTTTGATGGCAGTCAACATTTCATGTTAGATTTTTGTCCACAGTTTACTTAACCTAGAAAGTTAACATTCAAACTTCAGTTTCACTTTATTTTTGCCTGTCAAAGATTATCTGCTAACTTCATTTCAATATAGCAGTAGCAGTAGCTGTAAAGAAGTACAGTCTAAGTTATCTGCAAAAAAGTGTCCTGTCATTACTATGCATCAAAATGGTAAATGGACTGGACTGAAATTATATAGCAAACTTATATAACTTATCTGTGATGGTCTCA